TATGATAAAAATGTAAATTAAATGCTAGATGACATTTCTACATAAAATTACTGCTCTGGTATATAACTATGACGGAATGCGTGTTTTTATTTAAAACTCGCCAAATTGATGATGCTTGTTTAATTAAATTTAATTGCTTTAGGAAATGGGTCTAATAATAGACTAATAAAATAATAATTATATACTATACTAATAAGTTGTTTTGATTTCGAACAAGTTACACTTATCTTCGTTTGAGTTAAAAAATCACTTTACGATAAATACTATAGACGGAAAAGAATTAATGTTATTAGTATATAAACTGATTATAAACTGATTGTTAATTGCAATAAAATTAAACCGATGGTCGACAGTGATGAGCGGGGTTACATAACTCAAAAAATAAACATGAAAATCGATGAGAGGTAAAAACGTTACTGGTTAACTATTGGACGGATAGTCAGGAAAATTCAGATATAACAATAAAACTTTTTGAAAAAAATATTTTCAATTTTTTTAAGAATACTTGTAATCCAATCAACCGACATTCCATAAATATAGCGTTTTTCAACCTGTGGGGCGTGCCCTCTGGCGAAGCGCCATAACTCTAGGTGGGAAGTGTCATCACATCAAAATGAGAAAAAAAAACGATAATTACTAACGAAAAGAGAATTTCATTAATGGCATTAATTCCGACATTATAAAAAATAAGTAACTATTTAGGTACTACCAAATGGCAAATGAAACGAAAAATAAACTCATCAGTACTAAATTAAAAGTAGCTTTAATAATTATTAGTGACTCTCTTGGACCTGTCTCGCAAAGCACACACTTTTAAAAGATGGTTTTACATTACAAATAGCAACTATCAGTTTTTTGCCTATATTTAGTCGAGATCTATATTTTGGTTTTAAAGCAGCCACCGCAGAAAATCCGGCATAGCAAAGGTAGGATGTTGAAAATGGCAATAATATACGAAATGCCCTTGTTTTCAATAGAAAAAAGCCTAATCCACTCCCGTCCAAAATTCAAAGAGTGGATTACAGATTTTATGTAGGCTTCTTCTGCAATTGAGATACCTTCGGGAGTAGTTCGAAATGGACCTCTAACTCAAATCGTAACTTGCTACAAAGTTGTCGTCAGCAAGAAAATAATTTTTAAAATTATGTGGATTTATAAAAAGAGTGGAGAAAATATATCATCGTAGCATTTTTACCTGCAGCGGTATATTGATATTGCGATCACAAAAAAGTTTTTTCATTCTATTAATAATTTATCGGCAACTAATTTCTTTTGTTTGATCCGTATCTTCTGTGATCCAAGCTCCAAGGTATTTGAACGAGGATATTTGCTTAATTTCTGTATTGTCTAGTACTCGCTTATCGCTGATGCTGGTGATTTTAAGCTTTCGTAATTACCAAGAAATTAGTTTTCTTAGATTTATTTTTAATCCATAATTGCTGCAATGTATATTGAGTTGTTGAGCAAGGTGTTGCGGTTCTTCTAGTGTTCCGGCCAGAAGTTATTGAGTGGTTCACCGTTTATAATTAGGCCTTCAGTGACTTCAGCCAGTGCTAATTCACATATTACTTTACTATAATAAGTGAATCTGGATGTTTTCAGTCAGTTTATCTTCAATTTTCACTTTCACTGTTGGATTTCAGTATAGATTACATACAATTATAATGTCTCTACTATATATTTTTTATTTAACAAAATTTCTTTAAGACGATTATGCTGCATGATGACAAAATGGACTTTTGTAATAAGCTTGGTCAAAATTTTAACTTTCACGTTTGTTTTAATTAAAGTGGTTATACTTATTTTAGGATAGCACTGATAACGTTAGGTGATGTAACCCGATAGGGTTTTGTATTAATATACCTTGTATAATAATATTCTAAAGCTATTTTCTTGTGGCATTTTAAAGTAATTACTTACCATTTAAATGGGAATAAGCCACAATTAAAGGTTAAAAGTTTATTGACGTTTGAATTTCTACTTAGAAAATCATTCTCAAAATACAAACATTATTAAATTAAACAAAATTTGTTTTATTCAGTAATGTTTAGTGGAAATTGAAGCGAATGGAAATATTCCCATTTAAATAGTAATTACCTTTTATAAAGAAAATTTTTTAAATAAACATTTTTTACAATGAACAATATTTTTAATAAGAGAAGCATGTAATAAAATAAATGAAATAACTTTTCAAAATTCTTTCATGTTTTGCTTTGTTTCTTCTTCAAGTGCCATATCAGAATTATCCGACGTTGTCGATCACCATTACGAGGGCTTCTCGATCTTCTGCCACAAGGAATAATTGTCATGCATTTGATATCCGACTCCATTCACGAATGTTTTTTAAGCAAGAAACTTGTAAAGTTTCTTGCTTAAAACTTAAAGAAAGAACTTAAAACTTAGAACTAAAAACTTAAAGAAAGTTGAAAGTACTGTTATATATTATATAGGTTTCCCCCCACTATTGTAGCAGGTTAAATTTCTTGAATTTATAAATTATTACGCGCATGTATTTTTTTGTTAACTATGTCTTAAGATTATTAATTTTTATCGCTTTGAATACGTATGAGTTTAATAGATTTTGTATGGGGCTATACTATTACATAAACGAACACGTTTTCATTTAAACCACTTTATTTAAGTACTCATCACGCATAATCCCTCTCAGAATTGTATTGGTTTTTAGTTAAAACGTTCTTTATTTTCTCATGGAAACAAATATTTTGAACCAAACTACACATCCCCTTCCCAAAAATTAATTAGCTTAGGTATAATTTATAAAAATCCAAAATCCGATTTTACCTCTCAGTTGCCAGTTATTATTTGTATTAATATGCATTCAGAGGTGCAATTTGTAGTTTAGTTACGATTGAGAAACTCACAATTTTGTGAGTTTACTGGCAATTAAATTTTTTAGACACTTGCATTCACAGAATTATTTTATAATATCTGATTTCTGCCGATTGGGTTAACCACCCTTGGGGTATGATGTAATTCACTACCTGTTGCTTTGGATTCCAACATATGTTTTTCTTTAGGCCTATGGCTCTGCCTTCAAAAGTCAACAAATTATTATGCGACTGCAATATTTTATATTGATTTTTATTCCTGTTACAGACATTGGTCGCGTTCATCAGATGCAAACGTTGGCAATCAGTTTCCGCTTTATTCTTCTGAACGGCTTGCTGAGTGTTGCAAACGTCAAACGTGTTTGGAAAGCGATCGCCATTTTTGCAAGCATAAAATAACGGCTACCGAAGACATTCATAAAAGATTGGATGGTTAGGTTAGGCTAGCTATGTTATCATCGATTTTATTTTTTTATTATTAAAAAATAATTCAAAAACTGAGAATATTTATTTTAGGTTAGGTTCAACCACGCAAAATGTCAAATCTCAACCTCCACAATAAACAATAACCGTTCAGCTCGTTGTCAACAAGTTTAAGAATCAAAGCGCAAACAGTTGTGAACATGTTTGCATCTGGTTTGATCTGGTGAACGCAGCCATTAGCTTATTTTTATTGACAATAAGCAAAGTTTTTTTTAAGTTTATTTTTAGTTATTTTTTTGTTGAGTATGTTACTAAATGTAAAATTATAATTATGTACCGTTAATGTTTAAATAAAACGGAACAATGGCCAATGAGATTCGTTTAAATTGCAGTAACACATTCATTTGATTATATTTTTTGTTGAGATATTAAAGTTGATTAAAGTAATTTCCGTATTATTTATTATTTAAATTATATAAAAGACTGCAATCTATTTACAGTATAAGGTTATTGATGACAATATTGTGTGATTATGTTTTTATTAATAAGTATTTATTAATAAAATTTTTGAGTGTTAATAAACATAATTTTTTATTGTAACGTATTATTTTATTTTTGAGAAGAGACGATATAAATTATTTGATTTTTTTATAGAAGATAATATAATTCTTTTAAGTATTTTACATATTATGGTTAGATATGTAAATTTTTATAGTTTTTTGTCGATAATTTGCTATGTTTTCTGACTTGGGTTTTTCTGATGTTTTTGAGACAAATGTTTGTTTAGTTTATTTATTCTTGAGTTCCTTCATAAGTGTCAGGTTAAAATTTATATTGGCGCCCATAATCTTTAACAGTTTACTTAAAGCTGTAAAACTTTAGGCTGTATTTTTTTATCATCTATATCCTTACACACCCCCAATAAAGCTCCCTGACTTGAGCAACGTGGTCTTCGTTAAGTATTGTGAACGAAAAACTTTTTATCAACTGTTGTTAACTTTTTCCCGACACTATGTGCCCCAAATAAGACATTTTCCGGTGTTGAACAGTCTTTAGCAATTCTCTATCTTTGTTCACCCTCCTTGGTACTTTCTCATTAGTTTTTCATACTATCTAAAGTATCTTCAGCATTCGTGTATGAATCTTTGCTTTGATAGAACTTAAATAAATCATGAACTTTATAAACCAGTTGGCTCTCCATTATTAAAGTAAATTCAAAGCGAATAAAGGTTGTTACAAATAAGATCAGTAGAAAATCAATAAAACAAACTATTTATATATAGAAAAAAGTATACAAGATTGCAAAAAATCATATGAATTATTACTGACACCATAAGGTTGGTTTTTAAAACTAGTATCCAACACACCGATTCCTTCTATTAACAATGAAAAAAGTGTAAAATAAAATCAGAGTACATCTGCATACTAAATGTATTGTTTGTTACAAGCATATTAACTTTAACATTTTCGTTGTGGTGAAAGAATTAGTCAATTTCAATCCGAATGTATTGGAAATGGAAATTAAATTTTATAATTTTTATTTGCGGTCTAAATTTCCACTCCGGATATCGTTTTCAAATAAGATTATTTAAAAAATACTAAGATGTTATTTCAACCAAAAGGTTGTTTAGAGGTTATATTGTTTCTTATTATTAAACAAATTCTGAGGATTCTCTTAGTAGAAGTTAACTATAATCCACGCTTATCATAATTATAAAAGTTACTTACCTCTGGAAAGAAATCCTGTGGAAACTTTGCCTTCTCTTTAGTAACTACAGTCTCGATATTGCCTGAATGGATTTCTTTACCTTGTACAGGCACAAACACACAATCTTTGAAATCCCATATTAAAATATTTTCCAAAGATTGGTGCACGAAGTACAAATTCCCCAGTGCCTGAAACAAATTAGTTATTGTATACAATGTTCTTATATGATAACTTTGAATAAACCATCAAGTGTGATAAATTAAAAAACCTAAGAGAGCGGAATAATAAACTTCTTAAGTTATAGATACTTATCTAAAAAAAAAAATACAAATCACGAAGGGTAGCATAGAGATTTGTTTAACAAATCTTATTTTGTTTAGTTCAGATGTTTCTTTAAATAAATGAAATTTTTAGTAGTAAATAAATGAAGTTTCATCACTATTTGTTAGTTTAATGTCACTTGTATACGATTGCCTGTTTCATTCTTTGCTATAGTCTTTATGGGAAATTCTTTCATAATGCTAAATCTCTTTAGTATATTATCTATGAACATGGTTCAGAAAAGCGTGTTGCAGAAAGTAATTAGTTAACTCATAAGACCACCTCTCTCGGTACTGGTTTAAATTTCGTACGACGAAATCATTGTTTATGAATTCCAAATTCGATCATAACCCAATATAATTAGGATCTGTTAATAGTATTGTACGCTGTCTTAAAATCTACGAAGATGTAATGGCAGTCTATGTCGTACTCGGCCATTTGTCTGATGGATGATATGTGATCAATGGTAGATTTGTTTTTCAAAAAGCCTCTTTAGTAGAATCCTATTATATTGTCAGTATACTGTGCCAATCGTTAGTAAACTATCGAAAGTTCGTTTCCTTTTTTGTGTATAGGGCATATAATTCCAGTATTAAAATCTTCTGGTAAGCCGCGTTCTTTCCATGCCTGTATTAATAGTTTGTGAAAGAGGGTTACAAATGTTTGACCGCCACATTTAAATATTTCTTCCGGTGGGTTACCGACTTGTTTCTGGCTAGAAACTCAATTGCTTCATCCATTTCTTCTAAAGTTGGTAAAATTGGTACAGTTTCCTCCTGTTCTAGTTCTATATCATCTCTACCTTCAGCTCTACTTTCCCCATTTAGTAGAGTACTAAAATGTTCCTGTCACCTTTTCAGTACTTCTACTCTGTCGTTCAAAAAAATGCCATTATGAGCCTTGACTTGGTTCGATTGTGGCTTGAAAACTTTCCTTGTTGTGTTAACTTGTTTGTAAAATTTTCTGTGTTCGTGATCTGTATTTAATTTTTCCATTTCTTCGAAATCTTTATTGATTTGTTGCCGCTTTATCTGTGTGTGTTTTTATTTTTCCTATCTTCTCTTTACCCGATATTCTTCAACATTGCTCCGAGTACTTCTGTTGATCATTTTCAGATAGGCTTCTAGGAAAGCACTGGACTTAATTGATGATTAATGGTGTTATCCTTCTTCACGGCAATGCTCGGCCTCATGATGTCAAAATAGTGAAACAATGAAAGAAATGGAGGATATTAGAGGATCCACCCTATAGTATCGATTTATCGCCTTGCTATTTTCACACATTTAAGCCATTGAAAAAGACATTGAAAGGTAATCGTTTTCAGTTGAACGAAGAAGTACAAAATGCCGTACAAGAATTCTTCAAGAAATAGCTATAAGAATTCTTTAAGGAGAGTATACAGCTTGGTGAAACAATGGGATATGTTTCTTAATTGTAGTGATAATTATTTGTAGATATATTTGCGAATATATTTTTTCTGGATCAAAGATGGGTTTCAATTGAACAAGCCTCGTATAAGATCCTCAACATACATTGTGACCAGTTTATGTCCAGCTACCGAACTCTACTTCCTGCGGACCTGAGAGGGTAATAACAGAGCTAAGTATCTCCCTATTATTGAATTACTCCAAAAACTCTTTACTGTAGGTACATAAAACAGTTTTATTTCATTTGATTTTATTGTTAATTATTTTTGTTAGTATTTTGTTACTAATTAACTTTCACCGGTACGATATCTAAGTAGTAAACAATTTTTCTATATTGTTTAATATATGAGTAATATTTAAGATATTTAGTTTGTTTCAATTTAGTACCTCTGAACTAGCTTCCACCGAATATTCATTGTAGATTTCATACTCCATATCTTTGCAACCTAACATTACATTTATAAGAAACGTGTAGACTATCGATGTGTGCTTCTACCCCTGGGGTGATAAACACCCCCGTCTCCTAGGTTGAAATTTTGACACTCAAAATAACGTCGGGAATTGGCCTTGGAGAATAATGGCCTAGATTAAATTGTATTTGCAAGGTGATAGTTCAAAGCTTGTTAGTATGATAAAAGCATTAACCTCTGCTGAGGTATACATTATTTGTGAAATTATAAATTGGGGATTTGAGCTCATTTGAGCGCAGTCTATTGTAGAAAGTTACTTAAGCAACATCTATAGTATAATTATTAGTAGCTGTCAATAAAACCATAATTTTTACTCCACAACTTCAACGTTTTATTGTATTTATCATCGTCGATCGAGAAGAAGCGGACAAAAGGACATCACAAAACGATTCGATCCTTATAACTACAGTCCCTTACTAGTTAAAAAAAGGGTTTTAAAATAGTTTAATGTATCTAGTCTTATAGCTTTTAAAATTACCTTTAAGATCTTATTTAACAGATATCATAGCTTAAAAATTAACGGAATTATCCTAAAAAACCAATTGTATTTATTGGGAAAAAATTTTGGTGCACATAACAAAATATGTGTTATGGAATTAACTTATTTTCTGTATATATGAATGCGTTATTCAAATATATTCGAAACACCGGAATCATAGGTAGTTTTTTTATTTACACATTTATCCAAGGGGAGATTGTTTTGAGAGCATAAGGGTGGTTTTTAAGGGTTGAAAATTTTATGAACAGGAAATGAATTTTTTTCTCAAATATAAATACAAGATCATAACTTTTGAAAGTATCACAATTTTTTCATGACCTTTTGACACAACGGGTTGTTTTTAAGTGTTGAAAATAGGCAACCAATGACAAGAAAAAAATGTTTGAACATAAATGTGCATATAAAATTTTGAAGACGTTGAAAAAAGAATTTTTTAGATATATTTTTGAGATAGGGGGTAGTTTTTAAGGGTTTAAGTGTTGCAATTAACCAAAATTATTTTATATAAGCAGATAGTTACATTGTAGATGACATAAATGCATTACAAAATCGTTTCAACATGATTTTTTACAATTATTTTTATTAAAAGTAATGGTTTTTTAAGATTGCTCAAGGGTTGGGAATGTACACGATACCAACTATAATTTAAAATATTGCAATTGCATAATTTAGCATGATTTAAATCCATAAAATCCTTTAATATTAATTTTTTTCAATAAGGGGTGGTTTTCACCTATTAAAACTAAAAAGCTGACCTAGTTATAAAAAATTTAGATGTATTGACCTGTTTTCCGCAATAGTGACGACTACACTTCGGACCACAAGGGAAATACAGAGTGTTTTAAAAAGGCATGTCATAAATTAAATCACGCATTCCATGGACAAAAATAAATTCGATTGAATCTAACTTACCTTAGTACAAAAGTGTACACAAAAAAGGTACAGCCCTCCTAAACTACTTGATATTCTGTAATAAAAATTGACATGTTACTTTCTTGTTCTGAAAGCATTTTTCATACAAAAGAAACAACAATATCTAAGCGCACATAAAAATTGTAAAGGTGGTGGTGTGCAGTCGTAAATCCCCCCAAATTTTTGAGTACGTTCAAATCAAATGAATTTTGTGGTATCATTAGTTTAACACATTATTTTTAAAACTTTTTTGCCTCATAACTTTTTCGAAAAACTAGTGTTTTCCTAGTTTGTCATAAAATTACAATTAGTTTCTACGGATAAAATAATTACAAACAGTTCAATCAATACTAGTCAATAATTTGAAGTTATCATTTATTGTGTGAATAAGATTAATATTAAAAATTTTGATATTACAATGGCGTAGACATTTCAGAAAATGGCAAATATGCATTTAACTTTGGGTAAGTTTGATCAGATTAAATTATGGTTTCAATGTAAACTATTGAAAATATCGTAGGTATCCTGTTGAAAACTATTGAAAATATCCTGTCAAGGAAATAGTGCAGCAGCCGCAAGGCGTTATACAGTAAAATACCCCAATCGAAATACACCCGATAGACGATTATTTCTGACCATTGATCGTCGTTTACGAGAAACAGGTAAATTCCAACAGCAAGTTGCTGGCAATAGTGGTTGTCCACAACTGGTTCCGCTGGTTCCCAACAATTTAAATGGTGATAATTATTTGCAGTTCTTGGCAAACGATTTAAAATGGTTTCTAGAAGATGGCGCTCCACCGCATTACAGTAATGAATACCTTTGCAGGCAGTATCCTGGTCGATGAATCGGAAGGGGTCGTGACACCCCTTTTTCTTGGCTACCCAGAAGTTCGTCTTAACCCCATGGACTTTTGCTTTTGGGGGTTTATGAAAGAGAAAGTGTATTCTGTAACAATAGAGGACGAACAACAATTGAGGGTTAGAATAATTGAAGCTGCAAATCAATATCGTCAGAAAAATATGATTTTTCAGCGCATTCAGCTTTCCTTATTAAAACGATACCGAATGTGTATTGAAGAAAAAGGGGGTAATTTTGAACATTTATTGTAATATCATATTTATAGAGGTTATAAACATTTTTTATATTTGTTAATTCATTTAAGCCATTTATTTAGTTGCACATAATTTTTTTAAAGGTTAATGAAAAGGGCCATAACTCAATTAAAACTGTTTTTTTGAAAAAAGTGATGAGGCAAATTTTTTTTTAAAAATAATGTGCTAAACTAATAATGTCACAAAATTCATTTGATTTGACGTACTCAAAAGTTTGGGGGGATTTAGGACTGCACACCCCCCTTTAAATTTTTCTGTGCGCTTAGATTTTGTTGTTTCTTTTGTACGAAAAATGCTTTCAGAACAAGAAAGTAACGTGTCCATTTTTATTACAAAATGTTAAGTAGTTTAGAAGATAATGCAAAAAAAAAACAATTTTTATTTTGTAACTACAAAGGGCTATACCTTTTTTGTGTACACTTTTGTACTAAGGTAAGTTGGATTCAATCAATTTATTTTTGTCCCCAGAATGCGTGATTTAATTTATGGCATACCTTTTTGAAACACCCTGTATTTCCCTTGTCAGGTCAAAACATCTAAATTTTAAATGTCAATTTTAACTTTAAACTTACCGTAAAATTTTCTGCTGAGCTGTAATCTTCATCTAAAAATACCCTAATCTTATCGAATAAGCGTAATTCATTACTGGACATCAATAATTTCACGAAATGTTCAACTTGTTTCATACTAAGTTCATAGTTCTTTCCTCCTACCTCCTGGCAATGTAAACCTATGAATTTGGGATCTAACTTAGATACAGTTGATAAAAATTCTTCAGTCCATATTTTAAGCATTTCATTTGGCTGTAACAAGATAATATTTTGTTAGAGGAAAGGAATAAATTTAAAAAATTGCAGATACAACTCCTTTTAATAAAGTTTACTTTATGCTTTAAGTACTTTTTTAGCTTCAAAACTTTAAGATAACGAAATACTCTAAATAATTGACATTTGCACAGAAAACATACAATATGTACACTATCCAATTTGACAACGAGCATAATTGAGAAGCCTAGAAGTAAAGGTGATATTTTTGTAAATATTTAGAAAACTGCATGGCTGAACTGGAAATCTTTCATTCTATTTGGAGTTAAAAAGATCTAAGTGATAAGTCTAACAGGTGTAGCTTTCTAGCGGAAAGTTACTTAGCCTCCAAGACAACTATGAGTAGGAGAAAAGCCAACTATGGGTAGGAGAGGTTGAAGAAAAGAGATACAAGTGCACTTGTACCCCAGTTTCACTTATATACTTATATACTTGTGGTATAGCTCATAAGTAAGAATTTAATGTAAACTGCTGCGTTTTACGTTATTATAAACTAGTGTTTTTAAAGAGTTCGTTTTGTTCCTTGTGGAATACGGGGCCAGTGATAGAGGATTTACTTGCTAATGCTTTTCGACCACCAAAGCAGACTGAAAAAAAAAGGATTCGGAGGCCAGAAACGTGGAAAAAACAGTGCTAAAATAGCAAGAAATTCAGGTCAAGATTACATGAACAAAAAACACAATACTCACGAAGCTAAAAAGTTACGAGAACTTGAAAATCATCATTGTTGGAATAAATGTACTAATATTATGTCACAAGAACAAAGACTTTCAGTTTTTTAAGAGTATTGAGTATTGAACAAACGTTTACAAAAAAGCAAAAAAAAGTTTAGTCCGGCGTATCATGAATAGACAAAAGAAAGAAATCACCCCTAACAAAATTTATGAAAGGACAATTGAAATCATAAAAGAGCATATTAATAATTTTTCTAGGTACACAAGCCACTACACTAGAAATAAGACTCCAAATAGGAGGTATCTTCCTCAGGAGTGTAATTTGGAAATAATGTACAAACTTTATTGCGATTTATATGAGGATGAAAACAGGAAGAACCTGTAAGTGAAAGCTTTTACAATAATATTTTTAATACTCAGTTTAACCATATGTTCAAAAGGCCAAGTACAAACACCTGTGAGAAATATAACAAATTTAAGATAAAAATAAATCACGGTTCAGAAGAAAATGCATTACCTCATACAGAAAAAGGCTTTCAAGCCGTAAGAACAGCAAAAGGTAAGTGTCATGATCTAAAGGATGCTAGCAATATTACGATCATCTTCGACTTACAAAAAACTATACCAACTACTAATGTGTCAACTTCTAAAGCATATTATTTAAGGCAACTATGCACATATAACTTAAGGTTCCATAACCTACAGACTGGAACAACCCATTTATTTACAGGCCAACTACAGAAATTTAGTTTCCTTGTCGATTACATTTCTTTATGTGACACGAAGGTCAGGCGTCACGTGGATGTCAGGAAATATCATCTTGTCTCCTAAAATATATTAGAAGCCTTCCCCATCTGTGAAACACATAACTGCATTTAGCGACAACTGTGGAGACCAAAATAAGAGTCAACTGTCAGTAAAATTTTGGCCCTACATTCTCGGAAACACTAACATTAAAACAGTAGATCATCGCTTTTTTTAAGTGGCCATTTTTATAACGAGTGTGACTAAGACTAGTTTAACAGAGTTAAAAAGAAAAGAACCTGTATGTACCTCAAAATTGGATGCAGCTGGTAAGTTCTACAAGTAGAACGTTCTTTACACTACGGATGGCAAAAATGACGATTTTTTAGACTTTCAAATAATTACGCCATGCTTTAAGAAGAGCGTAAGTGGAATGCAGAGCATGCAATGGTTACATTTTAAACTGGACAAACCTTTAACCCTGTTTTACAAAAAAACAGCTGGAGGTATCATAAAAGAGTTTAGTGAGATATCTATGAAACCCATTCGAGCTGGCAAAAACTCTGACCCTCTGCCAGATCTCTCGTTAGTATTGATTCACAAAAGGCCTCTCATTAAGCAAGCTAAATATTCAAATCTTCAACAGTTGCTCAACTACGTACCTCCAATTTACCATGAGTTTTTGTTAAATCTGCGACATGATGGTCAACAAGCTGGCGAACTAGCAAACTTAGAAGCAGAGGTCGAAAATGAAGATTTATATCACCATTACGACACTGATGTCGATGAATCATAAGTCGATTATAGTGAAGAATAAATTTGTACAAAAACTTTACGATCTTTTTACATTTATTACCGTGCTACTTATGCAGGCCATTCACGTTCCGACTTGTGGTACGACTAGTGGTCTAACTTCTGCAGTTGGATCTGAAATCGGACCGTGAGTGGGCTAGTTGGATTAGTTGGACAACTAGTGGTACGACTAGTGGGACGACTTGAAGATCCGACTTCCGACTGGCGACGAAGTCGGAGCGTGAGTGGTGAAGTTGGCAGTCGGATCACAGGTTGGATCGAAAATTTCCTCAGTCAGTTGACTTTCGGCACCTGTTACGTATGAGATTTCTATGAAATACTTTACGCAAAGATCTCTAGTTTGCGAATATTTAATAGAAAATAAACTTTCAATTGCACGAAAATTACCTTTTTGTTTGGGCAAATCATTTTCCTTTCTGTAGATCTATTTCGGACATTCCTATACAGGTAAATTTCCGATACTCCGGATTGACTACGGAAGAATTATCAACAAACAATGAAAATTAAATCATAGTTGTAGGAAAAGATCCCTAGTTCGCAAAAAAATAATAGAAAATAACTTTCAATTGCACGAACAATTATTCCTATTAAAAATATACGACACACACACACAACAAAATAAATCCCAGCTCCAGTTTAAAACAAATAAAATATAAATTTTATACCTATACAAATCTTTAAAAACTATAATTTTTTCCTACATCTTAAAAAGTCATAAAAATCAAGAGTTGAAAAATTAATTATTTCAGCCCTAGACAAATAACTAGAGAAACGAAACCTAATTTTTAAACATACATATCATATTATTATATTTTGCGTAGTGTTTATTCGATACATTTTTTGGTTAAGCGATGTACACCATCGTGAAAACAACCTAGAACTGAAGTTGGACCGCTAGTTGGATAGAAAGTCGGAGCGTGAATGGAGACGAACATCCAACTAGTAGTCCTACTAAGTGGGACCACAAGTCGGAACGTGAATGGCCTGTCTTATGCAGGCCATTCACGTTCCGACTTGTGGTACGACTAGTGGTCCAACTTCTGCAGTTGGATCTGAAATCGGACCGTGAGTGGGCTAGTTGGATTAGTGGGACAACTAGTGGTACGACTAGTGGGACGACTTGAAGATACGACTTCCGACTGGCGATGAAGTCGGAGCGTGAATGGTGAAGTTGGAAGTCGGATGACAGGGTGGATCGAAAATTTCCTCAGTCAGTTGACTTTCGGCACCTGTTACGTATGAGATTTCTATGAAATACTTTACGCAAAGATCTCTAGTTCGCGAATATTTAATAGAAAATAAACTTTCAATTGCACGAAAATTACCTTTTTGTTAGGGCAAATCATTTTCCTTTCTGTAGATCTATTTCGGACATTCCTATACAGGTAAATTTCCGATAATCCGGATTGGCTACGGAAGAATTCTCAACAAACAATGAAAATTAAATCATAGTTGTAGCAAAAGATCCCTAGTTCGCAAAAAAAATAATAGAAAATAACTTTCAATTGCACGAACAATTATTCCTATTAAAAATATACGACACACACACAACAAAATAAATCCCAGCTCTAGTTTAAAACAAATAAAATATAAATTTTATACCTATATACAAATCTTTAAAAACTATAATTTTTTCCTACATCTTAAAAAGACATATAAATCAAGAGTTGAAAAAATTAATTAGTTCAGCCCTAGACAAATAACTAGAGAAACGAAACCAAATTTTTAAACATACATATCATATTATTATATTTTGCGTAGTGTTTATTCGATACATCCATCGTGAAAACAACCTAGAACTGAAGTTGGACCGCTAGTTGGATAGAAAGTCGGAGCGTGAGTGGAGACGAACATCCAACTAGTAGTCCTACTAAGTGGGACCACAAGTCGGAACGTGAATGGCCTGTCTTAGCAACCTAAAAATAGCTCCAAAAGGAGTAAAGTCAATCAAATTACGATTTTTTTGTTAACAATAACATTAATAATGCTTACAGTTACTACACCGGAGAAGAAAAACTAGCATTAAAAAGCATGGTCATTACAGTGAAGACTCAACTTTGAACGGCATTTACTTAAAATGTAGTTTTTGTCACTTATACCCCTTTACTTCTACGGTCCACAATTATTGTTTAAGACAATTATGTATCTTTTTCATTTGTTTTAAAAATGAATGCTTCTTATTGCTCGGTATGTCTGTATTGCAGTATACAGTAATATAATAACATACATATACACTTAAATTGTAAAGAATTTAAATGTGGTGTTATTATAAAAAAATATTAACAAGTCAGTAATAAGCAGACATAAAATTTCATTAAGACACATAGACTAATAACCTCTATAAGAAGTATTCACTTCTGACGGCACTTCCCAATAACGATTCATAACAAAATATCCAGTAGGTACATGTGACCGATCGTCTAGTTTTTATCGAGTTATACCTCAACCCGAACAAGAAGCTCAATCTGAAGAATGCGAAAAGTTTTTTTTACGGTAAAAATCGATTTAGATGGTCTAAGAAACCTATATATCCTACAGCAATCCGCACTTTAAAACATAATATATGTGTCTGGACTAAAAAATATTCCGAGAACTGACTTTTTCAACCCTGCAGAAGTTTTGAATATTTTGTTTGATTACGAAATTCTTGTAGTGATTTTAGAATGAACAAATATACGTATTTCTAGATAAAGAGAAAGATTTTGTAATATAATGTTCTATTGATCTTCGTAATATGGATAAAATAGA